ACTGGAGGAGTTTGTGGATCAGACAGTCGTTACCCAAAGGAAGTTGTTGTGCCGTTGTCTTCTTGTACAAGGAATATATCAAATCACATCCGAAGTTTTAGTATAATCGACATTAGAACAGAAGTCGAACTTATCTTAGCACGAGCTTCTGTGTTCTCTYTTCCAAGGAATTATGAAATATTTACAATTTGCCCCGCACATCGTGCTTCTCTGGGGATAGGGTGGCGGAGATMAACAAATCGTTGCCGGGCTCCACAAGCGATTTCTMGTCATACTGATAAAGCTAGTACCAGGAAAKCAGATCGCGGTTTTAGTAAAGCGGAGTCCAAAGCGGTATTACAAAGGACTGGCATCTTTATCCCTGCAGGCTCCGGTGAGTAATAATTCTAATTTTTTACTTTCTATTTTTACAATCTTACCATTTAAATTTGATTTGGAGTTGTCAGCCAATACCTGGACAGATTCGTAATTTGATTATCGCGCGTTTTAGCGGATCTCCCGCGCGAACKGAAGCACCATATCAGCCATAGATATAAAATACCAAGACTAATTACGTGTATATTCCTCGTTTTTTACCCAATAATTTACCTAAGTTTGCATTATCATTTCATTCGAGAAAAGGGGAGTGACTAGTTACCCAATTCCCCCTCTCCAGGGGCGGATAGAGGGGGGGGGGACGTTTTAGGGCGTTTTCACTAATCAAATCATGATTAATTTTAGGTGTCGTGTCTGCAAACCACTTTTGGAGAGCTGTATAAGCTCTCCAAGCAATAGCGTCGAGCACGTTGCTGAAGAAATCGCCAATATATCTTTAGTAAGTACTTAGCTATAGAAGCTATAAAGCAGCACTGTTGGTTATATAAAATCTGATCTAGAATATTAATCTGTGCTATTCTGTTAATATTCATTTTTCATTATTTTAGCTAATAACTTTGAACTGATTTAAGGTTTGAGATTTTTAGATTTTTAAATTAAAATTTATATCAATTTTGTAATATAAAACGTTTTTGCACTTTGTACAGGACAGAGATGATAGAGAACCACTACCCACTAGTACCCCCGTGACACCTGGAGCGAGTTTCTTTGYACCCTCAGCTGACGATACMACAGAAAGCTCTGRAGTTAGTTTTGATGTACCTCCTACCAGTCCATTGGAAAACCTAAATACATACTTAGTATCCAGAGATGTCAGTCCCGTAAGGTCGAGGCTACGTACTCGTTGGGATGAAACAAGTGAGCGTACCAAGAGATATTACACGCGCAAAGTCGGTCAGGGTGTAGTAGCGATGTTAAAAGATATCAGTCCAGACGAGACGGGGCCACTGTTTCAGTCGCTCTGTTCATCAAACATGGTAAAACAGCTCAGTGATGAGAAAATGGATGGCGATAGCACTGTTGACCTTACATTGCTGCAAGCACTTGCAGATTGTTACCAGGAGGCCAGTAACTGGGAGGTACGCCGTCAAATACTATCCATCATGGACGACAAAGTACGGTACAGTGTACTTTTAAAATATATACCAGGCTTAACAAGATATAGATTTACAGAAGCTAAAAGGCATTGCTTGACCTATGGTAGAGGGACGCCTGTCCAATCAGTACGTTCACCCAGAAAAGATGTCTCATCTACTTCAATACAACACTTCATCTCATTTATCACAAGCTCTCGCGTAGTACAAGACATACCATTTGGAGAGCGCTCAATTAAKCTCAGTAACAAGGACACAATAAAGATTCCTAACATCATAAGAACGATAGTACCYGAAAGAATGGKGAAGCAATACTTAGCATACTGTTCTGAATCAGGSTTCAAGCCACTAAGTAGAAGTACGCTTTTAAGAATCCTTGCTGTTTGCCCTGCCTCAACCCGCAAGTCTCTTCAAGGGCTCGATTATGTAACGTCAGCAGGTGCCGAAGCTTTTGATGAACTACTTGATGCTGTGGAAYGGCTTGGTGATGCTGGTCAGGGMATGGGATGGACCAAAGAAATGCAGACACGCCTGCAGGCTGGAAAACGTTATCTTAAAACGGATTATAAGGTGAATATCA